GTTGGAGAAGTTTGTGGAGGACTGTCTCCCATGGGAGGAGCCCCATGCTGGAGCAGGGGAAGATTGTGAGGAGTCCTCCCCCAGAGGAAGCAGGAGAGGCAGAGACGACATGTGATGAACTGACAGCAACTCCCATTCCCCATCCCCCTGTGCCACTGGGAAGGAGGATGTAGAGAAAATCAGGAGTAAGGTTGAGCCTGAGAAGGGAGGTATGGTGGGAAGGTGTTTTAAGATTTAGTTTTTATTTCTCATTATCCTACTCTGATTTGATTGGTAATAAATTAATTTCCCCAAGTTGAGCATGTTTTGCCCATGACAGTAATTGGTGAGTGATCTCCCTATCCTTATCTTGACCCACAAGCCTTTTGTCATGTTTTTTCTTCCCCTGTTCAGCTGAGGAGAGGAGTGATAGAGCAGCTTTGGTGGGCACCTGGCATCCAGCCAGGGTCAACCTATCACAGCCTTCCGAGATCAGAACCTCCACATTCAAACTAGCAACTAACAATTCAACTCTGAATGTATGTTCAACTTCTGCTCTTCATTCTACTACCAGAATGGGAGGAATAATAAGCAGAAACATATTTAGCAGCCCAACAGATTGCATTCCACCTCCAAGACTGATTTCATAGGAGCCCTCCCTGGGAAGTGTGGCACAGCTTCTTCTCTGAAGACGCCAGATCTGAACGAGAACTAGAACATAACGCATGCAATTGCTACTGCCGGTGACCCAGCCCACCATGTAAGACTGCACACCTGATTTTCAGCCGGTCATTTTCTGAGTAAAGACGGAGGACATGTTCCCTCTCCTGGAAGAGGTAGACTTGCATATCACTCAAAGCCTTTTGCAGCTCTGCAATCTCCTCTTCTCGCTGACGTACTTCCCATTGCAATTTGTGCTAGGTAGAGAGAATGAGGTAGTTGAAATGATATAGAGCATTGGGCAAACTTCAAACTGCTTGTGCCCTGAGCCTGTAAGTGGTATAGAGCAACTGCCAGTTCAAGTGAATTGTTTTATTCTCTTGCAAAATTTGACCAGATGAGGGCAGTATTGGAAAAATTAAAAAAGTTTCAACAGGGAGCTCAGAGCCCTAAGAATTATTGTCATTATTAATGACAGTCAAATAAGTCCTAAGCTAGGGTCTCCGGTTTGGCAGTCAGAGTGGCACAGGTATGTGGAATCTGATGTCAACAAAAGCCTAGTAAAGCCTCCGACACAGCACTTATTCTTTAAAAAAAAATTACTGAAGAATAAACATTAAAATATCTGTATGGTTTAGTAGTGAGAAATCTGGCTAGTTAGTAAGTTCATTAATGATTTTCTACCTGGTGTGGAAAACTAACAAACCCTTCAGAAAACCATTCCTGTAAGAGAGAAGGCATTTTGGAACCTGCCGCTCTTTTTCCTGTATGTTGCATGAAAGTAATTTGTAAGCCACATACTTCTCAAGGGCTTTCAGGCTGCTTCAAGCATGGCCAGTACTTCAGGACTCAATGACCTCAGAAATGATCATTCTATTTATTTCCAAAGGGTCATTCACAATTACAAAGATGACTACTATGCTATAAGGCATACCAGAAGTTACAGGCATTCTGTAAGATTTCTTCCTGTTAAAAGGCCAAGGTTTTTAGGTTTAAGAGTTTCTTTTAAATTTACATTTATTTGCCGTGTAGTACTACTGCTTAATAACCTATGACCAAGCTTATGAATTCCATTGCAGTAAATACAAATTATATAGGTATCTCAAAGCTCATTAGATTTGGACAAAAGAGTACTCATTCTTCACTATGAGAAACAAGGGAAAGAAGTTGGACAATATGGGAACTGAACATCTAAACTCAGGCTTTAATTCTGAAAAAAAACCCAGAAACAAACAACCCACTGTGAAGATACAACAAAACTATAATAAATTAAGAATAGAAGAATATCCTACAGGCATGTTTCCCTTTGCTTTGACAGAGGACAGACAGCTAGATTTTATAATCTAGTTATTTCTATATTTATAATCTAGATTTCTAGAAGAAATCTACTTATTTCTTCTTAGCTCAGTTCTATCACATTACCAGTAAAACTTAAGACCATCTGTGCTGAGTTTTCAACTGAAGAAAAATACTAAGTTTGTGTAAGGATATGTGGTCTGTCATCATTCAAAAGTTTTTTTCCTAACCTGCTCATCATATGTTTCTTTGTATCTCTCCAGCCTTTTTGCCAAATCCTCATGTTCCTCATCAAACTCAGCAATCTTCTTGCGGTAGTATTCCAGCAGCTCACGGGAGGGACGGAGAAAGGCCAAGCGCTCATTGATTGAAGGGAGAGGAGTAAAGTTCTCCTGACTTGGAGACTGGGAATTAGCATATCTGGATGAGACATTGGGGGTTGCCCGCCTGGACAGAAACAGTTTCTAATGACATGTAAGCTTCAGACAATAACATTAAAAAACCCTTTCTAAAATAATTAAAAATAGGTTTTTTCAATTTTAACACAGATTAGCTTGTCTGTGGTCTGGGCACTAACAGGAGATCACAACATTTAGGAGAACCAAAAGCTTTGATATAGAACAGCTTGCAGGCTTACTATATTGTGGAGATGGGCTCAACTGATGGAAAAGGGAGAAAGAAAAATGTTATGGAAGGAAAATCTCATGGGTTGTTTGGGAAGGGTGACCGTTAAAGGAAGAGGAGGCAAGAAAAGGAGAGAACAAAGGCAACAAAAAGCTCATTGTTGTGTAATTAGAAGTATCAGCCACTGTATGATAAATAAGAAGATATAGTCTGTGACAGAATCACTATCTGATATCCTGAGAGAAAAACACTTTCTAAACAGAGACTGCTGAGTAAAGACAATAATTCAGGTTAACTGATGTACCAGCCACCATGATGTAAGGCATAGGTGTAGGAATCTACATGCTTTCCTTTCTGGTCTACTTGATGTTACTATCCACATGAGTCATCTGCCCTTGATAGTGAAATAAAAGCTTCCAAGTTCTTGAATCTTGTGTTGAGGTACTAGATGGAAAGCATGTCAATATTACATAAACCAAATGAAGAATATGTATATGTAATTACATATCTGATTTTTATTTTAAGCAATGTTTACTGCATTCAAACATTTAATCTGCTCAAACAAGCACCAAGTTCACTAATAGAGCTGTACACAGAATTCAAAGTTATCTTGGAAAATGTTCATTATTTATGTTGACCTGAAAAACGGGTAGTTTTTAATGAAACCATGAGTAACAGAATTAAAGCTAAGAAGTGTCTTTACTAAAGATCTGCTTAACAAAAAGTCTGGAATCTGGTTCTGGAGCCAATGCCAGAACTTTGATCACTGAGGCAGCAGTGACCTTATGGACTGCTGCTCACCAAAGCTGCTAGGTGAGAGAACCCAATGTACTACATCCATGAAAACATGCCAACCTCCTTAACTACTGACACTGTAGGAAAGTATTAAATATGCAGTACTATGATTATTTCATGTAGGAACCTTCCCACCACTATGCCTAGAAATGCCTTAAACAACACACTTGGAAAGATAAGTAACAGCAACAGAAGAAAACAGATAACATAGGCACAAGGTGAATACTTTATTACTGAACTAAAGAACAGTAGAAATGGAAAGGTGTAGATATAAAGAAGCACAGCAGGTACAAGAGCATACAAAACGGGGCCTTACGTTAAGCCTTGCTACCGGACAGAAAGGGAAGAGCTCTGGGGCAGATCCCGCAGAGCCATTTCGTCGCGGGGTGACTACGGCTGCAGCCCCCACACTACCTTCTGGAGCGAGGGGAGGTCCCCGGAGAACAGTCCGTTGCGCTCATGGCGCCGCTGCGGAAGGGCCAGGCTCACGGCGGGTAGGGGACAGAAGCTTCGAGCCGGGGTTCAGCCGGGCCGCC